GCAAAACGATAATTTTCTTAGAGATACGTATTTTGAGGCAATGAAGATATGAGTGTTAATGAAATATTTACACCAGAGCCTAATTGTATAAAGATAGGACAATTGTATAAAATAATGTTTCTTGCGTGGTTATATTTGCTTTTTATGACCGTTTTTTTTTAACATTTAGTGATACCCAATCCACTTAATGCACCTCGTATTTCGGAGAAAGAATATAGAGGTCGCAAACATTTTTTTCATGGTTGTCATGGATTTGCGCTATTATTGAGCAATATTAGCGCACTGAACTGCCGTCAATAGAAAGTATACACCCACGCTTCATGGTGCCTACAAACTAAAAATGGTTATTCGAGAGTGATGTATTTGATACGGGTATCAAAGACGATATTACATGCAACATATCAATGAGAATCTCTTAACAGGTGACTTCTCAGGGGTCTCAATTTCACAGTACACAGTCATGAGCAGAGTCAGTTGTAATTTTTCAAGTGTAACTTTCTTTTATCCGGCAGTTTATTTCTGCGTTGGACACCAGAAATGCGTCCCTTTGGAAATCCGGGTTAGAACTGGTCCCCAGCAACCTATGATTGGTGTAAGAGACGACCAAATTGATCGGGTGGTCAGGCTCGGTGACTTTGTTGATGGACTGTCATCGTACTCCGATGGCATGGGACGCTGCTAATAATATCAACCACGGTCAACCACTGAATTCATTCTCTCATGGATATCATCGTATAGAAGGAATATTTCTAAGCAACATGAAACTACAAACAAACGCCGGCTCAGAGTTCAAAGTGTATATTTTTCAAAGATAATATAACGTGCAGAACTATTTAATTTGAAGATATTTTGAAACAGTGAGTGACAAGCGAACGCTTGTGAAATTTGTGAAAACTCCTTGTAAAGGTCACAGTAGGGATAGCAATACTTCTAGAATGTCTACCATAAACTTGCTGACTCTGACAATGGCGGAACCTTACTGAAAAGCTTAGCTGCTGGCTTTGGTGACGCCAACAATATCAAAATGTTACCTTGATAGACCAAGTCGTCCACTGCTTTTGGTCTGATGATCTGGGTCTGGATTAGATGGTCTGGATCTAAAGCTGATTCTGAACCTAGATCTGGTTATTTGTGTCTGAATCTGGATCTGATTATATGGATCTTGATCTGGTTTGATGATCTGCGCCTTCATATGAATGTTGATCTGGATTTGCATCTAATGGTCTGGTTCTGGATCTGAATCTGATATTCTTGATTTGGATCTGGATCTGGATCTAAATCTGAATGTGGGGCTTGAACTAGGTCTTGATCTGGCTCTGGATCTTGACATGATGATCAGGGTGTGGATCTTGATCTGATGATATGGTCTGATCTGGATTTGGATATGAGTCTACATCTAAGTCTGATGATCTTGGTCTGGATTTGGGTGTGATGATTTTTGGTCTGGATCTGTATCCGAATGGGGACTGGCCTGCATCGCTACTGGTGACGTCGAGACGATGGCGATATTATGCTTGCACTCAGGCACGAGAATACTACACATGTACATTCAGGGCATTTATCCACGATGAAGGTGCTCCAAGACTGTATGACATATGGATCCCAATGGTCATTTGTTCGACCTGGCGTCATCAGCGACAACTGCATGCCTATCATTGGTATCTGTCTTGTGCCATTGGATTTCATACCGAATTAATTTAGTGTTCTATATTAATAAATAACGTACATATTCGTATATGTTTACAGATGGACTGGGTTCGGGAAAGGCGGTTATCACAGAACATTTGTTAAAACAGATCCAGCCAACTCATGAATACTTAAGCCGTTTTCGTTTGGCGATGAGAAACAAATTAGTCTGCTATTTTCAAAGTGAAAGACTGAAATAGTCTCGGCGCCTGATCAATTTTCAGAGATATATTTCATCTTGGTTCAAAGAATTCATCATTTATTTACGACGTAATGTTCACTGCACCATACACTGTAACATTACAAGAATTATTTTAGTTCTTTATTGACGTTATGTAAAAACACATCGTGTATAGTTTCTCTGAGAAAGTTGAAAAGAAAACTTTGATGGCCCTATAAGAATGCCTCCAAAAGACCACCATAAAATTGATTGTAAAAAGAGCCAAATACTTATAGCACTGTTAACAAAAGTTCCAATACCTGGTACATTTAATTATTCTGATTCCTATTTTTTTTCGAAAACACCCGTCTAAATAGCAAGTTCTAGCATACGATTGGTAATAAAACAATTATAGTGGATAATACAATTGTATTACACTCAGAGGAATTAATTAGACAATTCAAGCAGAATGTTGCATTTTAAAAATCGATCCATTCATTCTGAAGCAAGAGTTCCAGAGTTCAGATGATATCCATACACCAGTAGTGTGTATCAGTTTACGGTACCCTAATGAACACAGCTAAAAGCAATTATATTTATAATGCATGTAAATAAATAATTTGCTCAAGATAAAAACAGAAATTGCATGATTCATAACTTCTGTAATAGTATATGTTCAAATGTAATAACCAAGTATCCGGTGTCGTATATAATGTATGTAACTGAACACTAGGTCGTTGCGTCCAAAAGAAAATTCATTTCGTTCATTGCAATTGGTCGTGTTTGAATACCGTCACGTTTGTATTAGTATTGCATAAGAAATACACATACATGTATAAACACAATCTACATAACTGTAAGTTTGATAACAAAAAAACTATTTATATGATGGATGCTTTGCCACAGTGTATTATGACATTGAAGTATATCCACTGTCATGCTAACTTTAATACGCAAGGTTATGTTATTAGGCTATATGTTCTACATCTCCATCCACACGGAGACATTAGTTTGTGTCTAAATTTACATACGTGTATCGTACATTTGTGCGTACATTTAGAAATGAATTTCATACATGTGTGTCTAAATGTATACACCTTTACATTAATTAGTTTCTAAATATACATACCTTTACATATATTTATGGCTTTATTTTCCAAACTTTACATACATTTATGTCTAACTTTACATACCTTTACATACTTTTATGTCTAAATTATAAACATTTACATATGAACGTTTATTTACTTACGTTTAAATCTCAATTTCAATACCTTTACATACATTAATGTCTAACTTTACAAAACCTCTACAAACATTTGTCTAAATTTACAAAATTAACATACATTTATGTCTAAATATACATACCTTTACATAAATTTAAGTCCATTGACAACCTTCTGCATAAATATCAGTATATACGTACAAACCTTTACGTACAATTATGTCCAAATTTATAAACCGTAACATACCTTTATGTCTAAATTTACAATTCTTCACAAACGATTAAATTCCGATGTGCATACGTTTACATGTGATTAGTAAACCATTACATACCATTATGTTAAAATTTGCATTCTCATCAATGAATAACATAAACTTATGTCTAATATACAAACGCGTTTCATACATTTGTGGCTAAAAGTAAATACCTTTACATACATGTATGTTTAAATGTACATACATTTACATACATATATGTCTAAAGTTACATCACTACACATACACGTGTGTCTAAAGTACATATATATCTAATCCCAGTACGACTTCATCCGATATCTCAATATCCGAAACCAGGAACTGTTCTGTCGTCTTCTGCACTAGGTAGTTATACACTTGTTGTGACATGATGTCTGCCCATGAACCATCGTCCTGGCTAGTTGCTTTCTAGAGGGGGTCTTTGTTGAGGGCAGGATCTGTTACAGTAGGTCGTTCGAGGTCGTTCCTATCGCACTCAACACCGACGGGCATTTTTGACACGTTTGCGTGAAGGCACGTTGATGGTTAACTCCACGTCCGTTCATCCATCATAAGCGTTTACAATTATGATTTTGTTTGACTAAATCTTAATCTCTTAAAAAATATAATTTTGATAAGCAAATAAATCCATTTAAATTGAAAAGGAGCCCAAGTGAGATGGGAGATTCAGAACCTGAGGAAAATCTAGACTTGCTTCACTTTGGGCTTTTGCATTTGAGAAAGGGCTTGGTTGAAGGGAAAATAAATATGGTTCATGGACTGTGAGACAGACCAGGATTTTCTATACATCTTCCAAACACACTATAAGGAAACTGTGTATGGAGAGATAAGGAAAAGGTGTATGGAGATTCCAGCAACGGTGTAGGAACATACTTCGATCAGATTTTGAAAATGTCACTTTGGCACATTATTCAGCCGTTTCAGTATGACTCATTCAGAATGTTATATGCAATACAAGTAAATGGGTGGATCTGAGGGCGTATTTAGATTTGTACCCTTATATAAGCTTTTCAGCTCCACGTTTCCCAACTGATCTTGTTTTATCTCATTTTCAACTTCTCTAAAACCCCTATGAAAGTGTGTATACATGTATATGGTCCACGAAATGGGGTCTCAACTCAAGTGATTCGACCCTGAAAATCTTCAGAAGTTCAAAGAGTCAAACAGAACCTTCTCCTAGATGTCAGATGCATATTAAACCAACCAAAGTCTGATGGATTGCCCATTGAAGACTCTTAATGTTCATCTTTATTGAGTCAATCCTAAAACTGTTAATAAGTAGAAACTTTTCCACGACCTCATCTAAAATCGTAAACAAACATAAATCAGATTGATTGTCCATTAAAGCCTCCTTATGTTCATTTGCATTGATTTAATACAATAAATCTTCAGCAGTTGAAAGCTTGAGTACTATATTAACTTATGCAATATGTTTTGGCTGAAGAGTTACCGAGTATGGTAACGATACAATTTATACAATATGTTTTACAATTCAATTTACTTCACTAGATAACACTTCTTAGAACATTTTAGAATGAAGTATAGGAAGATGGCCCTGTAGTCTATTACAGAAAATATTATGAGTGATAGTATCATCATGTTTCTTTCAGAGGCATCTTTACAATGACTCCATTGATATATTTAGCTTTGACTTCAAATAAAACAAACATGGATAAATGGGTAATTTCCTTATTTTAATTCATGACGATGATATCAAAAAATCATTACAAAATACGATCATTTAAAACAATTGAGCAGCAATGAATTATGCACTATATTACACATAATGTACAAAAATAACTACCAGTGATGATCAGTTATGCATTAATGATGAATTTTACTGCAAATGTAAAACTTAAATATATTGTGACATCGAGCCACAATGGAATGGGATTTATTACAATTAACGTGTATAAGCAGTTTCTTCTTGGATGCTATATACAATGATAACTTTCAAAGAAAGAGCATGGATTTAACAAAATCAAAAGAAATAGAATTTGCACAATAAATGGATTTAGCACTTAAGGGTATTTACAGGGGGAACCATAGCACACAATATCTGTGCTGACAAAGGGAACACTTAACAAACAATAAGGATAATACATTGTACATTCTGCAACATATCTCATGGAAATGCCCTAAAATAGAGTATGTACATGAACAGGAACCTTTTCTGAGCAGTAAATAAAACAATAACGACCCACTATATCGAGAATTTGACAGTATATAAACAACATTTGACAACAAAAATAACATTCATATATTAATTGTTTGGAATGTAAGTTGGGGGCTTATAAATAAAATATCATCACATAGAGCAATTGTTTGCTGTATATGGCATGTATTGGTCTCAACTGCTTTGTTTCTAGTCCTGCACGTTTTATGCGGTTTGGTCCAATATCTTTTCCAATGCAAAACCATTTTTTGGAAATGCAACAAGGATTGAATATCAACTGTCAACGAACACTAATCTGGTTGATGATGTGATCTGTACCCTTTTGTTTTTGTACTGAAGATTGTTGGGACATTGCAGACACAAAAGCAGGTACATGGAATATCGTAACAGATATAGAAGAGGGCCTATAAAACACACATACAGAATACAAGGATATGAAGGGTTTGTCTTATATTTGAGATACCCTTAAACATACATCACTAGATAATGGAATGGTAGCATTTGTGTTCTTTTCAGATGGGCTCAACAGGTTTATGAAGAGGACATTCATCTTGATGTTTTGTTAGGAAAAAGGTGTCTTTCTTCAAATGGGCTCATGACGGTTAGGATGAGAACATTTATCTCAAACGTTTTGTTAGACACAAAATCCCTCCTTACCTCAAACACAGCTAGAGAAACATTATTTTTATTTATAACATGAACAGTCCTTTTATCTCATGACTTTGATGAATACATGTATAAGGAACGGCCCCCATCCCTCTAACAATGTTAAAATAATCAGTACCCCGAGACATGGGATGGAGTTTAAGAATGGGTTAAGACAGCAGTCTCATTCATGTTCCTTTCATATACACAATTCAACACAAGTCCACATGAACCTCCAAGATGTTGAACATGTTTTGTTTATAAGAGTCAAAATAGAAATCTTATCAGAATTTCAATATCTATATACATGTGAAAAGCTATGCTCAATTGTTGGAAAACGAATACCACTTGGGTGAAATTATATATCAATGTACTACTATACCATGGCATTGATTTGATTGTACTGATATCAGACGTCTGCAAACCCCATTTGAATGTCTCCATACTTCACTGGATTATCAGATGACACTTGAAGTAAAAAGTTTCCAATCTGTTTCCAATGTTGGCACCTTTGGCTAAATTCATAGCATCTACAATTTAATTACATGTCTCTTCTATTATGTGGCTTTCACTACAACATCACTTTTTCAAGAACAGTATATATTATAATGAAAACTGTTTTCAATATTTAACATTCTATGTTCAAATTAATACTGCAACAGATTGAATAAAGTAACTATTGAGAAACAAAACATTATGCTTTCTCTAATATGAATGAGTAATACTTCATAATCAACAAAATAACAACAAATCCTTTATCACAATGCTATCGAAATAACTGTGTTATGGCATCTGTAGACATTCAGTTAAATTTCTCTTTAAAAACCGTTAAAAATTCGGAATTTTGAAAGATCACATGTCATAAATAAAATTTGAAAATATAAAACTGACTTCCCATGTAAATATATGTGAAGAACTGCTAACATTTATGCCCAGTGAAATGAAATGAAAGTTTAACAATTACAAAACACATACAAAAGAGTGCATGACATGGTTTGATATTTATATTCAGAGTTATAGAACAAAATGTCATTGTTCAGAAATCCTTTCTGAAACTACATATAAGGCATTACATTACATGATCATTTTAGATTGCATATTATGCATGAAGTAATATTCTGCCTCATTTCGTTGCTTAGCATATTTTTTTCTATCATGATCTATCTTCTACAATAAATAAATACTACATTGTCAAAAAAGTACAAAAATAAGGCAAGAAGCTAAAAAGAATGCCCACAGTTTCAAAGAATGTACAAAAATAACTCTGCATATTTTGAAATGGCTTGTTTGTCTTAAAAGCATAGATGAAGGATAAACATAATTCTGCAGAATATCATTGATCCTTTTGTGTGCAATAATATATAGTTATCATATATCTTGTGAACATAATTATCTTAAGAATACACATTTAGTATACAATGCTACTGAACCAGGCAGAATATATTTCTTGTTTGATATATTTTTTACAAATGTATTGTACAAGAAGGAAATATGTCAAACTGAATCAAATTCATTGGATTCATTGATTCTTATGAAATCATTTTCACAAATGGTGCATCTTAAAAAAATCATTTACAGACATGAAATTAACTTAGGCACAAGTCCTTATACTACCAACATGGATCTATAAATTTCGCACTGAACACTTCTATATTTGAATATAGATAATTGACATAACTAAGATCTGAACAAGTATTTATAATCTTACAAGAAGAAAACTGTTAACTTTAAAAAAAGTGAAGCTTCAAAGGACTTTTAGAACAAGTTTGTACTATTTAAATGATTGTAAACCAGCAGTGACAGTTGAAATGAATCAAACACATACATATTCAGTATCCTTTCACAATTCAAGTTAATGATTAGTTTAACACGTAAAAGGCATATCAGCTTTGCTACATGTATCATGATTTTAAGGTCAAATCAATGTTCATCTATTTAGACATTCTAAATGTCAGTCAAATCAAAGTGACCAATAAATGGTAGGATTATGACATAATATAACTTAAATATAGTTCATACAACATTCCAAAGCATGGTTGAAATATATATAACTTTTATTGTGATTTGTTTAAAGTATATTTTCAACTGTTCCTGATTCTATGAATATGAACATTTTTACACCATCATAATGAGGATTTCACATAAAATCCATTCTCACGTCAGTCATTTCACAAGTAAGTGCCATATTTGCAACAATAACAGAATCAACTATACACTGTAGCAAGTGTATTTCATGAAATTTCACGAAATTCACAGGATACCAAATTTAATTTGGTCCCCATCCAACAACATAACTTGTGATAGTTCATAAAACTTTGAACTAAATGAATCAACACCACCACCAAACTAAGCATGTCCCAAAGCTAAACATCATAGATAACCACTCAGCTGAATTCACTGAGTGATATGGCAAGGCACTAATCTCAGGATGATTGACATGTGACATATAGAAGTCATTTCACTTTAACTATAATTGTCCAGGAAGTCCGGCTTTGATGGGCTTACACTCTGGACCATGTCGCTTCCAATGATTGTTCTGAAATAGAATAAATACACACTCAGTCTAGCAAATGTATTTTCTAGATTCACAGATTTTCTAGATCCAAATGTCAATATAATGAGCATGCAAATAACTGGGGTCATGACTGAAAGAATGTCAAACAGAAAGAGTAAAAAATTGAGTGATTTTAATCATTTTAGTGAGCCTACAATGCTGACAGACCAAAGATCATAACTAGGGTAAATCTTGGATTATTACCAAGGACCAATAGATCCTGGCACAATTAAAGGATGCAATTCCTTGTATGTTCTTGCTGCACCTTATACAACTAAAAATTCCTCTTTCAATTCCCTATAAGGGTATGATGTGTAAAGCCCATATTTTTGTCCACTGCCATGATATTGCTGGAATATTAATAAAAGTGGTGTAAAAACTCATTCACTTACACCAGATTTTATCAACTTTCAAGGTCAAGGTCTTATATTTTCTTGCATTACCAAAAACATTTTGGACAGACATATACACAACCTTAATTTCATCTATAAAACAACATGATGAATAATATCTTATTTTTATGTTTTTTTCATATGAAGTTTTATATTGGTAATGTGTGATAAAATCACAATTTCTTCAAGAAATGAAAGCACACTTAAGATCTAGGTTATTAGAGCTAACATTTTCAGGATTCTTTTATACAAAATTAATCTGGCATGCAGGAACTAAACCCTTGTACTCCCCCGAAGATAACACAAGCTATTCCTTTAGATAGAATGTCAAAGGCAACTTATCAAAGGTAAAAAGAAGTTAAAGTCATCCATATCCAATGTTATCCTTGTACACTATTATTATAAATAACTTATTATTATTATAGATAACCTATTATGTTGAACTTCTATGACAACAATAGGCACATGCCTCAGCTGGCCTGAAGAGAGAATTATTGAAAGGCTTAATAATTTGTTTCCAGAAACAAACCCTACAATCATATGAACTTACTAGGATATGAAAAAACAATAACGTAGAGATGGATAACACAGCCAAAATTGAGTATAATATAACCCCATGAAAAATTGATGATTACACTATGTTATGATGACACCATTCAATCCTTCTTATTATATATATATTGTTTTGCTTAGTATCTATATCATGATAATGAAATGTAATCAAAAAACAATTTTCAGTCATTCATCCCATGTATGATGATACTATCATGATATAACATTTATACTAAGGTTTCAATATAATAAGAATTAGATCAACAGCGAGTGCTTTTGTAGGTTATCATGGTGTAACATTTATACAAAATTTCATATAATTATGGAATAGCAAGTGATACATATTAATCAAGGTAAAATGCAGACACAAAATATCAGTAGTTTCAGTTAAATGCTAGCCTAAGGTAACGAGAACACATCTCCCACACATAATATTCATTGAATAAGACAAAAGATATGTCTACATAGTTTTATATATTGCCTTAAAATATTTTATTTAAATAAATCTGTCATCACCTATATTGGAATAACAATCAGCAAATACTTCAATTTAGACTCATTAAGGATTAGCCCCCAGACAAGCTCATCTGAGAATAATATTCAGCGAATACTTCAATTTAGACTTAAGGATTAGCCCCCAGACAAGCTCATCTGAGAATAATATTCAGCGAATACTTCAATTTAGACTTAAGGATTAGCCACCAGACAAGCTCATCAAAGAATATTATTCAGCGAATACTTCAATTTAGACTCATTAGACTCAGTGACTAAGTGACACCTTAATCTCTTTACAAGCACCCAGTAAATACGTCAACAAGATTGTTCTAAATTTTAGTTAAATAGATACAGAAGCAAGTTGTTAAGCAGAAGGGGTTTGACACTCATACCAAGCAGACACTGACCCTTTGTGGATTCCACAGCTATAGTTAAGAAATTGTTCATTGTTAATTGTTCTTGTAAATAAAATTGTGATTAGTCTCATGTGACTCCGGTTCTTTGTTGACTAATTCCCCCAAGAAAACCAGCACGAAATTTGGAAGGTTTTGTAACTCAGAACAGAACCATTATAATACAATCAAGAAAGTGGCAATATTGATACCTTTTTAACTGGGCACTTAATTCTGATAATGGTTGAGTTGATTTCATCCTCAATTAATAATCAGTGAAAAGAAAAGACTAATCATTTCAACTTGGCACACCTATGTTTGCTTTATTTTGTTTTGTTGCTATTAATTACTAATATGATTTGAAAATTGGTGCTAGTATTAGCAAGGTTAAGGCCATGGGTACCTATCTTAACTACGACATTTGGCTGTTGCGATAGTATTATTATTTCAAGGACATGAACCATATTTTTTGTTTTTTGTTTGTTTGTTTGTTGTTGATGCCGCACTCCAGCAGTATTTCAGCTGTATGACAGCATCCTGTAAATAATCAAGTCCGGACCAGAGAAAACAGTATGGGATATGAGGAAACACAATAGACAAGTTACATAATTATCTTGACCACCTGATCCATTTTATCTCTTCTTAGACACACATGTAGGTGACAGGGGACAAATCTTAACCCAGAAAACACCATGGGCAGGCATGAGGTGAGGTGAAATGAGGTGAGGTGAAATGAGGTGAGGTGAAATGAGGTGAGGTGAAATGAGGTGAGGTGAGGTGAGGTGAGGTGAGGTGAGGTGAGGTGAGGTGAAATGGGTCTTAACATCGCAATTAAGATTGTTTCACTTATATTGCGATGTGTGTGTGCATGCATGCATCTCTCTCTCTCTCTCTCTCTGTCTGCTTGTACTAGTATAGACTAATGCTGATTTTATAGTGCTAGCCCACTAACATTCCACCATGCCTCAGTTTAACATGAATGCCCCACTAGACACAGAATATTTGTTGTCCTTGTTGTATCCCCTTAATGCTGAGGAAGGAATTCAAGCTAAATGACATTTGTAACTTATTTTGCTTTGAGATATGACAGATATATTTTCAAAATATCTTTAAGAAAACACAAGGCAATGCATGCCAAGTTCCAGTGTCATTAGTACAGTGTTTTCTGAGGATAATATGATGAGGGACAAGCATGCCTGCGAGTCAGATGAGCTAAGATGTGAGTGTGAAGTAATTGTTTATTTATTTAAGATTACAAAGCATAACTAATCATTCTTTAGCATGAATGGCAAGAATTAGACTGGTAGAAAAAATATGTTTGTCAACCAACCTGACATGTCTGGCTACAGTACCACACCATACGACAACTTGAGCACAGATACATGGCCAAGGAACCACACACAACACAGGAACCATTAAACTGATGAAGCCTTGGTGGCGGTTGTGTCATTGCCACTTGCTGCATTCGCCTTTGATTATCCTGCTCTTGAAACTGAAAAAACATATTTACAGAAAACGTTGTTATGTAGTTCCAGGTTAATATTTGTTCACTGAAAACATAAACCAAACCGTAATCCAAGTATTAAAAATATTTCTGTTCACATGGAAGTTACCTGTTTTCAATAACATAGGAAATTCACTGTTGATGTAAAATTTATCTAATTCGACTCCATTCATGAAGAATATAACACTGTTTACATAAGACATCATAACTTTAACCATTAACCCTTTTTGCTGGTGTCATCACTGATCCAGTTATAAGGTTTTCATCACAATTGTTCTTTTCTGACTTGACCGACAATTGAAACTGATTATTCTCTGGCGATGATGTTTCATATTTACCTCTATCAATGCTGGTGCAGCCCCTTGTCCTGGTATTAGCATTCCTGATTCACGGGGGTATCCTTGCTGCATTGTTTGTTGCATTTTTGCCTGCATAGGTCCCGGCACAGGGCCTGAACCAGGGGCAGGTCCTCGTTGCATCATCCTCATATTATGCAAAGCTGCTCTCATATGCATGCTGTGTTCCTGATTCTGTGATGATGGTGCCATTGCATAGTTCGAGCCTCCACTTTGAGGTACTCCTGCTTGCATGGCATGAGAAGGCCCACTTGATGACATGGTGGGGTTAGCACCCTTCTGGGGCATTGGGTATTTCTGTGCTTGAGAATAGTGTTGCCATTGGTTCTTGCGAGCCATCATCATCATGTGCTGCTGCTTCTCAAGGGTCATTGGTACATTGGAAACTGACGTTGGCACTTGAGGTCTCCATGTCATAGGTTGCTGAGGAGGTTTGTATTGGTTTGTCATTGGTGGGCCACCTCTATTCAAATGATCAGCATAAGATGATTGAGGTTGTTGATGTGGAACTTGACCTGGCATTATGGAACCTTTCTCTGGCATCCTCTGGTAGCTTTCAACCATTGGAGGAGCATTCACCATTTGTTGAGGAACCTTGTCTGTATTTCTTTGCTGGTATTGTGGTGTTGCATAAGAGGCAGTTTGTGCTGAGGTATTCATCGGGTAATTAGATGCAGACATCATTTGTTTCGGCCCTGATGACAACAAAGCTGATTTGACACTTGTTGGTTCCTGCATCCTATATTGGGTTCCTGCTGTTGATTGCCTACCTTGCATAGGGGCATATGGTGCATCTGTCAGAGATGACATTGGATTACCAGCATGAGCATGTCCTTGACGAGAATACAAAGAACTTGGATGTTGCCCTTGAGGCACTCCTTGGGGGCTTACAGGGTTGTGTCCAGGATATGGTTTTTGACCATAATGTGCAATATTAGGTATCGTTTCCCTCCTAACCATTTGTTGTGGAAGCTGCTGAGGCTGTTGCTGCGGCTGTTGCTGCGGCTGTTGTTCAAAACCTGTCCCCTGTCTTCTGGCTAAAGCTGCTGTTAATTCTCGTTGGACAGTACTCTCAGTCTCATCCTTTGGGCCACTTGGTGGTTCATTTCCACCAGCCATGAGCTGGTTCCCTGGTATATGCCTCTGCATATCAGGTTTAGATATCTGTGGCTCCTTTGTCAAGTCAATAACCTCCATTCCCCTATCATGTCTCATACCATGCGCAATTTGAGGTCTGACATTACTTGGCTGGTGAACACTGTGAAGTGCTGTGGGTCGCATTGGTTGATTTCCTGGAAAGCCTTGATGAGAAGCATACAAATGATTTTGAGACATTGGGTTAGGCATCCGTGGTGACCACTGCTGCTGTTGTACACTCCCATGATCCACAACAAAAGCACTAGGATGCATGTTACTCATCATTCTCTCTCCTTGGGGATGGTATGACACAGGCTGATCCTGTGGAACATGAGCAACATTATAATTGGACTCTGATGAGTTTCTGGATTTTGTACTATGATCAGATTGGATTTCATTCACTGTTGGGGTTCTGTGAACTCCAGTTACTGGTTGTGGGTGGTGTAAAGCTGAGGAATGAGGACCTGGGTTTGCAGTGTTCCCTGAACCATGTGGATTAGGAGGAACAAAAGATGAAAGGATTTGGTCCTGTGGAGCAGTTTTAGCTGGAACTATCAAGCTACCAGCAGTTTGGAAAGGTGGCTGGGAGTGGGCCGGAACCAAAGCTACAGAGGAAAGGGCGCATCTATTCACTGAACCCGGTGGTTCATGAATAGGTGTTTTCCTTTTCACATAAGGGGAGCGGGTTATTTCTGAACTGGGCACATCACTATCAAGAATTACTATTCCATCTGATTTTTTCTGATGCGCTGGAGTTGGCACTGCATTAGTTCCTGTCCGCTGCTCTTCACTCAGTCGTCTATGCTTACTGCGGCTTCTCTGCAACATGGCAAGATTTATCATTTCTACAATAGGTCTTCTATCTTCTGAACTAATTCCTCTTTTCCTGTGTCCAACTCCTACCAGGTTCAGTGGTGCCATGCTAAAGTTGCCACTTGGACTTGTAGCAGTCTGAGATAAAGGGGGAGGAACTGAATATACTGGGTGAGTATTTTGTGGATCTGGATCTGTTTTCTGGAAACATGCCCTACCTTGTGGTGTTCCTTGAAAAGGCCTAAGTTCAGCTACCTGTGCTCTATGCTGAGTATTTGAGACAGGAGGTTTGAATATTTGACCTTGCAGATGTGAAGAGTTTTCATTTTCATGAGGAGTGTTTTGTTGGCTCTTTAATATCTTCATTTCTCTCAACAACATTGCCTTTCGTTTTTTCATCTGAAGAAGCGCTTCTCTCTCCCGCTCTTTCTTGGCAGCTAATATTTCCAGCTGTTTGAACTCTCTAAAGTGTTTTTCAAATTCTTTATCCAAATCTTTTCCTTCCATGTTCCTTGGTTGGTGACCATGTCTTGGAAATGGGTGATTTGGGTGTTGGCGCCCATGAGCAGGGACAAGACCAGGAACAGGTCCTTGCCTCTGTGAGACTGGATGAACCATTGTAGACCCTGTTGGTCTTGACACTGAATGACCATCTACCCCTGGGCTATTGGAAGCAAACATGGGACAATAGGGAGATGGTACAACAGTGCTGATTCCTGAATTAGGCTTTGAAATGGACACTGGACTTGTAGCAGAAGATGGTTCAGGGTTACGAAGTTGAGGACCTGCAAGTTCACCAACAGATACCTGACTGGACGGAGCTACTGAAAGAGTCTGACTTTGTTGAGACAGTTCATCACTATCTGTTGCCTGTTGCAATGCACTGGAAGGTTCCTGCGTCCCTACAGGCATAACAATCCCTCTTGCCATCTCTGCCAGAGAGACAGGAGTTTGTGAATGAGCTTGTGTCAAATTCAGAGCTCCCTCTGTTAGTGTCGTCTTCTCCTTTGTGGTGGTATTACTTTCAGGGGGTTCAGTAACAACTGCCTGGAGAATTTCTTTTGTCTCCTTGACCAGAGCAGGGTCAGTTGACACAGGCCGGGCTGGTTGCTGAACTTGAGGAAGCACCATCTGGACAGGAGGAGCCTTAGGTCTGGCACACCCTCCACTTGGTTTATCTGAATGTGTCAAAGAATATTAATCATTGTGGATTTAGTCAAACATCTTTATAACATATGTTGCTTCACAAGCAATTACCTATTCCTTTTATACATATAGACTTAGGCCAGATGTTTGCATATACAAACGACAAAAGTCTTTCGATAATCATTTTCATAACATATGCAGCTGTTCAAGGAATTACATAATCCAATAATATAAGCCAAAAATACATCAAAGTTCTAGGAATAATTATGCATGGGGATAGGTAAATGACATACCATTTTTCCTCACACAGAGGTCTAGTGGCTGTCCGGTTGGCTTGGCTTCTGTTGCATCACTGAAATTGTAAAAAGGAGAATAACACTAGTACAAGAATGTACATTCAACAAATCTACTCTTTTTTTATGAAAGGAGTTTGCAGGGTTCTATTCATATGAGACACATCATGTTGGGAGCAAACAAATGAAAGAGCCAGATCATTTTTTGCTATTGAATATTTCTGTGTATGATAATTTAGGTATGGGAACTTTATGTCATTAATGAAAAATATTCCCAATAATGCATGAACCCAAATGTATGTCGCCCCTCACAATAAGAAGATTCTGCCATACCCCAAACAATAAATATACTGAGAAAATCAAAAGTCATCAGGAGATGAAATATTCCTGTCATTTGTTTTCTGAGGACAACTCTGAATGAATGTCTACAAGGCAGAACTACTTTGAAGGATAATTGAGGTGTATTTGCCTCCCCTAAAATCATTACACATGATTTGTTGGACTTCATGTTTACTCATATATCCTGGATCTGATAAAAAGAAAAAATCATGAAATTATAAATAATCAGTGGAATCATTTAGAAAATAATATAATGTATATGAAAGTCAATGATTTCATTACATTCATAAAGATAAGGGTCTATCATTTCATTTCAAATTTCAATGTAACAAAAACCAGCATGTTTACTAAACTGTTTGTAACACTTCAAACAGCATTCTGTCTGTTCGATTCTTTCACAAAGAATTATTGCCTGTTTTTAGTTAAGACATATGCTTGAGATAAACCATCTTCTGAGACAAGAGAGCCTTTTTATCAAAGTTTTGTTTCCACCCTTGCCACATCAAGCCCACTTTCCTGTGCTGATTATGATTGGACAATCGCACAAATCGATAGTCCAATTAGAGAACGTTTCACAAAATCAACACCCACAACTGGTACACCTTCGTATGAAAGTGATTTACCGCTGCCTGTCCCAGTTGACACATATTTTTCATCTTTTAGACCCCCCAACAATTGCCTATGTTTTCGTGTCAGGGATAAAATCACAAATGTTTTCATTATCTGATCAACTAGGTCATGGTAGTCGCTATATTGTGAAGCTATAGGAGATAAAAACAGCAATCTGATTGGATATTGCATTTTCATTACAAGGGGCACAACTCTTGATCTATAGGAGGTGGGTCCAGGGTCAAGCCAAGGGTGTGATAAGGGTAGAAACTAGGCTTTGATATAGGTTAGTGGACACGCTTGCCCCAGGAAGACAGAGATAAATTTGTTTCCATATTTCTGTGAAAATGAAAAGAATATACATTTAAAAATTTCATGAGATAACAAAGTCTTGAGCTCACCATTTGGTTGATTGCTGTGTACAACTTAATGGAGGTATATTCAAATATTTTTTTATTTCTTTGCCGTGGCCACACTACAACTCTCTTAATGTGAGTTAAGCCTTGGCATCTCGTTTAAGCCACACACAAATGGATTAATTATATTCCCAATGTCCTTATCCATGCTATAACAGAAACCAATAGAGATCAGATTTATAATTCTTGTCCAGGAAACAAAACAAAACAAAACAAAACCCTAACTGAGTCTTAGGCTAACATGAGTCACAAAAACTAAAAAAACATTATATCCTTAGACAGCAAAAGTACCAGTTCAGTACCTGAAGAATTCATCCTACTCCTACTCTAATTAAAGGCAATTAAGTTCTTAACATCTCCATGGGAAAGGAAACAAATTGAAAGCCTAACTAGCGAAAGGAACCAGTTCACCAAGTGGTTGAATAACGTTAAGCTCTGCACTTACTGTTTCCATTAAAAGCAAAAAAAATCACAAAAATAACATATTACCCCCAAATAAACACAAGGCAGCAATTCACTAGCTTATGTGCAAGGTTTCATCAAGAAATAGTAAAGAGCTTTGAGTTCTGCTGCAGGAGAGATCTAATCAGACAGACTTACATGCTGACAGTTACCGCTATATCCATTTCAAGTCAGGGGGATAAAAACCTGAAAACACTATTTCTGGTATGTTGCTAAATGCAATCTAACATTATCATCACAAGGCATCTGTGAAGACTAGAGGTTAAACTACAAGACACTCTTTGAAGAACCAAAGAATCCTAAATGCCAATTATATATATTAAAAAAAATCAACTGACCAACTGTCATTTTTGGCACAAAAATCACTAAAACCTAGAACTTAAAAATCTGGTCTAATCATATCCCATATTACTAGTACCAACAATCATCTTAAAATATGATGACATATAAAAGATAGCTACTCGACAAAGAACAATGACGAAGGAAGCATAGTGTATTTCACGATAAAACATTGATCTATCATGACGTCAGTTATGGATATTCAAACATGCCCCCACTACTTGATGACATCTTAAATTGGATGACATTATTTTTTAGGGAAGTGTCCATTGAGTTGTTCCCCATAGATGTAGCTGGACAGATGAACACAATGGCAAAACGACCACACCCAAAAGTGGGAGAGACATGACAATCGGTATTGGAAGAAAAGGTGCAGATATTGACATGAAAATTGTGAGAATAGCAAACTTAAAATGAAGTTGTTGGACATTGCTGAGGTCAGATTGCATTCAGGGAATCATCATTATTTAAATAAGTGTAAATGTTTCAAATGCTTGTACAATTTATTGAAATCCTTAAAAAGGCTATATGTAATGTGGATATCTCATATAAGAAATAAACGACTCATGGACATTGTTTATTGTACAATAAAACACTGCATTCCTCATGGTTTATTCTCCCTGCAGTGTTTTATTGTATGATAAACAACTCCCACTCGTCATATATTTCTTATGTCAAGAAACTACCAAAATGACAGGGCATTCTCAGCTGAATAACAAATTTCAAAGCCTAAAATATTTTTTAAAATATAATATTGTCAAAATTTGTGACCTTGTGTCATAGTGGCATGGGTTGCATGGTTGCATTGGGTTTTCCTAGGCACTGTGATTTTCTGTTCAAATCCAAGAATAACCTTGATTATGTTTTTAGGTCTGTTAGGACCGATACTACTTGTGCTCATGGGTCACAAAGTGCTAAACACATAAGCCCTGCATCACTTCGGGATTTACTCCCAAATCAAGTTGACACATAAAGCATAACTGCAATAACATTGAAAGCAGTGTTGAGGCAAACAAACTCACTCATCATAAGTCACATATAAACTATATCCAAATCACAAAGCCACTCCTGCAGCCACCTTCACAGGATACTGTATTCCAAGCTGGAGTGCTACATGAAACATGTTGTCTCATCAAAGGTATAAGAATGAATGAATAATTCTACAGGAAAGTTTCAGGTATTACCTCTTTAATGTGCTTTTGTCCACTGTTGGCTGGCTTTGTTGTGTAGACTCTGACAAGGCAGATGTAAGTTCAGGTGTTGGAGATTCCTTCACTGCTTCCACCTGTGTATCATCTTCCTTCCCACTCTTATGCCCTGTTTCAGAAGTATCAATGACAGATGCATCTTGTTCTGTTCCACCTTCGTCAATGACCAACTCTCCACCCTCTTTGTCTTCAGCACCAACCATCTCCAATGCTTCATGTAAGCTAAAGGAGTTCTGATTTGACCCATCTGTAGCATTTGGAGAGTGTTGTGTGTTTTTCTCTCCATCCTGATGAGAACCAACACAGGATCCTGCAGCAGGAGCTACAGGACTTCCATCTTTGATGGAACTTGGTGATTCGGAAGGAACAGGATGGTCATCATATCGCTCATCTACAGGATCAGAGTCTTGTTTGTGCAGGCTCTCTGTCTGAACTGGTTCTGAGCTTGGTTGAGAATCACATACATGTGTGGGACTTTGATGTACTGTATTTGCTGCAACCAACTCCTCTTCAGAAGGGGAGCAGGTAGTCTGCTGCTGCAGCTGATTAATCTTATGTTCCAGCCAATTATGGCGAGGGAACTCCCGCATGATACGTTCCGAGCTGTTCCCCTTGCCTCCCACTGTGTTTTGCATCATCATGAGAGGGTTCCCATTCTTCTGTAGGCGCCGCCTCTTGGGAGGAAGAATTGTGGGAAGCTCATCTGAATCTGAAGGAGAAGAAACATGATTTGTATACAAGGTACTTAATGTTACTCGTTTATCCTCAGTAAAGAATTATTATGACATGATGTGCCTTCCCCACCTAATTGGATGATATTTCCAGCATTTTCATTGCTGGAATTTCCAATATAAAATCATATGATGTCATCATAGGTGAAAACATAATGTTCTTTGCATGTGTATGAAGAAAACAAATGGAGCCCATGGGAAGATGCAACACTGGTGAAGACCACATTGCATCTGCTTCTGATGATGGCTATCCACCTGTCGATGTAGGCACATTGGGCATATTCTCATTACAGGCTACTTAATCTATTCTTAAGTAAAATAACAATTGACAGAACAATGTACAAGGCATTTTGGGATGAAGGCAAAATGAAAAACACAAAGAAACTGTTCAAAAGATAACATGGGATATTGTTATATGACTGAATCTTTTTTCAAATGTCAAAATAAATATGAAAAAAGAATATATTACCGGGTAATCCCAAGAATTAACTCAAAATATATGTGAACAGAAGTTCAACATTCCCAAAATAATCAATTTCAGAATTGCATATCCCTGAGACTCGAGTTGTACTTATTGAGAACCCATAATGAAAACAAAAATAAATAGAATTTAGTGCTACCAGGATATACGCTGGATACACTTCTTGTGTAATGTTTTGAATTATCTACCAGACAAAAATTCTGAGTATTTTAACATGTTTAAATAAATAAAAAAGAAGAAATGACATTAATATTTCAAAACTGAAAACAGAAAAAGTCACCAAGAAAGGAATGGCAAGAATTATATCTCATGGTTCAAGGTGATATATATATCCTTTCTAGTATTGAGGATTATACACCAGGAACTGAAACTAACTATTTTTTGTACATTCTCAAAATGAAATGTCACCTCTAAAATTCCATCAACTTATCAAGTTTGATAATTAGCAGAACAATAGCTAAATGATGTATTATGTGCAAAATTTCTTATGGGTCAATAGTTTCTGTAACTATACATGAGTGGAATGGAGTGGAAAGACAAGCGTGATAAACATCTGTCACCAAAAACATGCATATTCCCAATGGGTTTAATGTAGATTCAGGTGAGCTTGAATCTATACCAGCCAGTGTGATGTCAGATTTCTACAAAAAAATGTCAGACTGTGTGAATAATTCATAGCATGTGCTTTCAAATTTATTTTGTAGAAAGTAAAACAATAGTGACATACTCCAACAGCTTGTGTTGATTCAACACATATTTTGATGACCTCAAATTTTGATATAAAATGGCATTGCATACACAAATATAGTTAAACAAATTCTTTGCCCAAGGACTGGAAATAAGACATTATAGTAAATGTAAACAAATAATTATGCTAAAACAAAGTGATGTTAGATGTGACTTCTTATATCATTATCTTGAGGTATCCATCTCCATCACTCATGTGTACATGAAAGCAGGCAGATATATCCTATATAAGAACTGCAACCAGACTGGTTAAACTAAGCAGACCACCTCCGTGGGTGGTAGACAGGGTCACTGCCCAGAGAGTGGAAGGTTACCAAACAAGTTAAATGACAGTACTTGCTGTACTGTACTTGCCAAGCACTTGGCAATTAGACCCATGAAGATCCGGGGTAGAATAGGTCTTCAGCAATGGTATCTCAGTGTGATAGCCCAAGTTAACGCAGGTCTTACATATTTATCATTTTGGTGGAACTCACAAGCATGAGTATGGTGCTGAAAGACTAATGGTCCTAATCTTGGACCATGTGGGATTTCAAACCCATGTTCTTTGGATCTTAAACATTGGCACAGATACTGTACGGCTGTTGTAGGGCCATAGATAACTGGACCACCCTTGGATGATTGGTATTGTTTTAGGAATATTTAGAAATATATCTACATCTACAAAGTATTTCTTTGTCTTCCTGCATAATAGTGGCATTAGACAAACAGGGCGCCCAGGGGATTGATATTGAAAAATGCGGTAGTTCAAAATGGCAGTGAAACAAACTATCAGGAGCAGACTACAGTGGAGAAAGTAGTTCACCATTTGCAAACAACCACTGAAAAATTGCACACGGCAAATTATTTATAAAGTGCATGAATGACAGAATGTTTTTGCATCAATAATACATTAAGAATATTAACATCCATGTGATAACTTATTCATTCAGCAAATTATTATTTCCATGTTTCCAATCCAGAAATAATCATTGCAGAAATGCTCCATTCTCCAAAAAGGATAAACTGGTCAGTTTGACATAGACATATATTTTCAGCAAATTTCCATTTCCACAATTGCCATGCTGGATTATTTATTGCGAAAAAATTCCATTCTCACAAAACAGATAAAATGATCAGCTACATGGACAAACTTTACTTGTCACAATATTTTCCTTTCATACTAAAATTAATAAACAAAATAAGACATACCATTTCTCAGTGACAGAGTTACCCGTGACTGGCCTATGTTATATGATGCAAACACTTGCCAAAGCTGATGCGATTTGTACTTAGGTGTTTGGCTTGATAAGGTCAACTTTCAACATAATTATTAATAACTATTCATGTGAATATAACTGTATGCAAGATTGCACTTACATTTCTGCAGAGGTTATGTTACAAGTCTCATTCGAAACGATCCTGTGAACATTACACTGGTTCATTTTAGATATAATGATCCAAATTCATAGATGCACACACTACAATCCATGTTTCATGACTTAGAAACCTGAAACGTGTACTTGTGTATAACTGATGCATGGCATACCTGACTGACACTAAAATCATCAAATATGAAAAAGGTATATATACCTTTCTATCACATTCTCATAAAATCTTCTCAAACATCTCCAAAACATCACAAAAGCACATCCTTCACATCAGTGCGTGAACAAGCAACAATAAACCATTTGAGTGTTGTAAATATTGATTCGGTGAGCCAACACGATAGACTGATTGATATTTACCTGAAATAGACAATTCGGAGACGTCAGTAATGTATTCGGAAATTACAAGCCATTTTGTCCAGTGATTGAAAATAACAAGACCATAATCCAGGTATGTTCACTAATTAAAACACAAGTATATGGTAAGCACAGTATGTGATGGCGAGTACATCCCAGCTAGTGGCGTCCGTATCAAGCAAAGTGAAATGAACAAGTAACAGCTGTTACAACAGACCTTCTGGTGGTGTTTCCATTCTCGTGTGAGAAATGAATGACGAGTTTACTGTCATTAACATGCAAATACTTTTCCACTTCATATGATGAATATGAAATAAACATTCGTTATTCTAATTGTATCATGACGGAAATACTAAACATATAAACCAAACAGCATTGAAACTGAGCTACCGCATATGCAAGGGCTTGATGAATAATGAACAATTGATTTATTTCAATCCTCCTCTTTTTACTTGATATCCAACCATAAAATTAAAATTACATATGAGCTTGGTATAATGAAATGCTTCTCATTGCACAGTTATGACTTTTCATTATTATTATTAACAATTATGATTGTTTCTGGTGATCATGGGGCAGTGGGATGGCCTGGTGGTTATCGTGTTCGTTTGTCACACTAAAGGCCTGGGTTTTATTCCCAAAATTGGTACAATGTATGAAGTGCATTTCTGGTGTCCCCCACAGTGATATTGCTGGGATTTTGCTTAAAGCAGCATAAAACCATACTCACCCACTTCCTCAGTGGACATTTGACTTAAATTTCCTTTTACAAAGATTGTTGTAGGATCATATACATTTTAATATTAAATCCAAAAAAATATTTCATATTATTGTAGCATATGATATAAAAACCTTATTTTCACAAATAATATTCCAATCTCAAATATGGTACATTTTGAAGTTTAATTCATGATAATTCATTGCAGTTCATTACAGTTCATCGGTCTAAAATCTCTGGTGTGTGGTTATACAGAGAAACAGAATCAACTCAACATATATGTTAGAATGATGTGACTGTCAGGTCCTGTCTGACTAACCAATAATTCAACTTTATTTTGTTTCTCTAAAAAATACATCTTGACTTAACAAACGTGGGAATCCATTTAGAAATACTTGTTTTGTATCAGACAATAATCACAGGCCCTCCCTAATTTCACAAGCGACTACATTCATGATACTATCAGGCTAAAACAAAATAAATAAGGCCAGATACAAGGACAGATACAAGGATACAGTATGTCAATGCGATGGCAGAACAAGAGGGAGGTTGCAGGGGTGTGCCCCCTTTCTTGTTTTTGTGTGTTCTGTTGTTTAACACCACACTTAAACAATATGACAGCGGCCAGTAAATAATCAAGTCAGGACCAGACAATCCAGTGATTGATATTGAGAACAATTATCCATGCCATGGTGGTACAAAGAGACACAAATTCAACCAAGTCACAAACCCATTCCATCAGGTCACCTCTAACTACCATCCTAGGTTACTGGGTACCAGTTCTAACTTGGAGTCACCCTTTACAGACACAATACATGTGTTCGTGACATGGGAAGCAGGCACCCCAATTATCAAAGTCCTAGATCAGCTTCTGGAGAGGTAAGGGTACTAGTCATATTTTTTCAATACTATTGCAATAACAGAAATGTGCCAATTAAATCACCCCTTATATTTACTATAAGGTTTAATACAATATAAAATAGTTACATGTGAATCAGTGGCATATGATTGGCTAACCAAGCAATTTACACAGTATGGACACAGGTTTTTATGTTTATACCTACATAATTGTGCAAAACTATTGAAGTCAATTCTTAAATAAGACATTTAACATACACAAAGTACATAATGAGATGAGTGCAACAGAAACATGTTACATTTGTGCAATAAATATCTTGTTACTAGAACCCTTAATACATACAGACATCCCATCATTTGAAATTCAGCAGCTTTACAGAAAGGACCCCATTAATATCTATCTGTTCAGTCTGAGTCAATGGTTATGAATACAAATAGATAATGAAATAG